TATATATATATATATATATATATATATATATCAGGGTATTCAGCAACGTTTTCGCTTATGCACTCTCCCCTCTCTCTATGGATTAGGCTCTGTGCTTCAGCTGCGTTTCTCCTTGACCATTCCCTTTTTCCTTCAATATAACCTTCAGCCTACTGATTAGCAGCTCAGGTCGGTGGGTTTATCGCTAAGCTCAAAACGTACGACAGGTAAAGCACTCCAGTAACGATGCGGGTGTCTTACGATGTCAGACGAAGGATGGACTTCGCTGATTGTACGCTGCAGCTTCAAGTAGTACGGATGCTTTACCCAAAGTGTGCATGCATGCATTAGGGGACGAGGGAAGGTCGAATAATGCAGTGAAGCGAGAGATAAAGTCTTTTTGGTGCCCCAGGATGCGCCCGTAAACCAAAAAAGAGGTTCTCATGTACTCGAAGTCTCAGCAGCCCAAGCCACAGAATTCTCACAACCCCGCATTCTTGCAGAGTCGTCCTGCTACCAGACGGATCTAGATGGATATCGTGATGGATTTCATACTGGCTTTACCTTCAGTGGGAAGCTCCCCCAGCATCTGGGATGTAGTGGATAGGCTTGTCAAGCGCAGCCACTTCATGCCCTGGTCTAGGTAGAGCACCGGAAGGGGCCCAATTATTCGCTAATCATGTCTCGAAACTTCATTGTCTTCCGAATAGTATCATCGCTCAAAGGGGGATGCAGTTCGTTAACGCCTCATCGAGGGGCTAAATCTCGACAATAATGTTCCGACCACCATGTCACCGGAGGCCAAGGAGAACGCAGCAAGCACGGGTTTATTTTTTTCGCTACTCTGTATCCCCTAGCGTTCTTCTAAGTAGATTGACTTATCACCAATTGTCGAATTGGTTTATAATTCACCCTTCCGTTGCTTGCTCCCCTGCTTCCCTGGTCTGATGCAACATTGGCAGACCCAAGGTTAGATCTAGCTGTCGGAACCCAGCTCCGTGCGTCTGCCGCTTTAGACGTCCCCCCGTTGCCCTTAGCAGCGGAGAAGGCGATAACAAATGCACAGTAACGACAGCCTATACAAACTACGGCAAACAGCTGCTAGCAGTTACGTTCAAAGCAGGCGACTTGGTTTGTGTGGATTCGCATTCCCTCCGATGCACGCTGGAGGGCCAGCAGCCAAACAAGTCCACACTGCGCTGGAGTGTACGTTCTGTTGTTATACCTGGTGTCAAGCCGTCAGCCTACATCGGCGGCATATCCTCAACTTGGATATGTCAACATTGCACTCATGCTGGTATCCAAAACCTCTTCAGAGAATAATGTAAACACTATCAACGTTACCTGCTACTCTGCCAGCGACGTCCTGATGGGATCTGCACTCGATGTGCTTTGATGTGCCTACTAATCCCGTCGTTGTGATCAGTGCCCCTTGCTTTCACTACGGCCAGCTTCCTTCAAGCGTGTGCACATCTGTTCCTCTTCTTCAGGTGTTTTTGAATGTCAAATCTTAGGAGCAGCTGCCCCAGCATCAGCTCTTTACCAGCGTCGCCAACCAAAGTCATTGTCTAGGGACTGGAGGCGGTGGTGCAGGGATACGAAGCGATCACAGCGCCGACCGGGCTGCGCAGCAATAGACCGCACTTGGATCTCAATACAGCCATATTCAGGGGCAATAGGGGTACACAACGGGGCACGCTGCTTGGGCGACGAGGGACGGCAAACCTAGTATAGTCTGTCCGGTGTTGGCAGGTCTGTCTGTTGGAACATGCACACTTGCTTGTGTTTGCAAGACAAATGGTAATCTGACAGAGCACCATAATGTAACAACAAAAGCCCTCTGCAATGTTGATGCACATGCCCCACAAGGGAGGATACCCGGAGTGTTCGGCCATCCCTGCCAATAGGGCTCGTGCCACCACTGTCGATTAAGTTTCTACAACTCGCCATGCGATGACCAGTTTGTTTCCTTTTTCTGAATTTTATTTTTTTTGCCCAATGTTGTGGCTAGTTGTGGGTTTAATGATTCTCTAGCTCCTATAGACCATCGGCGTTGTGGGGGTTCTGTGCAGAACTCCCAAGCGCTGCAGCCGAACCTGCCGCGCGGTACCAAACCTCTGAAATTAGCGCATTAAGCTTTACTCTGTCTTAGTAGTAGGCAACTATCGCGCAACTAAGAGGGGGGCCAGCAGCCTTTTGGGAACTCTCTTCTCGATTATTTCGACTGCGCCTCAGCTTACAATAATCCCCGGATAAGATCGAGGACCCGCGTTACACAGATGCTTGAGACCCCTGCTTTCATTCAAAGCTGACTGCAAAAATATTGGAAACAATTGTTGGAAACATGAAGTTGAGTGCCAGATGCATAAACAGGCGTTGTAAGGCTTAAAGCACTAACTGCAGAGGCTTGGCACCATTTTTCAGACTCGGCTGCAGGGTGCCTTGGAGTTCGGCAAAGAGCCTCCCCCACAAGCCGATGGTCCATAGGAGCTAGAGAATCTCGAGATCCACAACAAACCACAAAATTGAGAGAAAAAAGTAAAATTGAGTAAAAGTAAACAAACTGATCATAGCGTGAAGAGTTGTAGTATCTTTATCAAAAGCAGTGGCGCGTGCTTTATTAGCGGGGATGGCCGAACGTTCACAGGCACGTCAGTTGGCAGCCCCACTGGGGAGAGCAAGGCACGCGCCACTGCTAGCCGGTGCGATTTCCAAAAAGCTCGTGAAAACCCACATCATAAACCTATTTTCACATTGTAGGTATTGTAAACTGTTGTATGCCTTGTACTCACGAAAGCAGGTTGCCATTTTTGTGGGAAGGCTATCCCCAATCGTCGTTTGAACCGCCGGCCGCCCCTCAGCACTGCAAGTCGAGTTCGAAACAATGAAGCTCGTAGGATTGCGGGCCGTTGGCCTTTTGGGCTGTGTTGCACTTCTGAGTTCAGCAGCGGTTTCTGGGGAGGAGACTGATCCCGTAGTTTTGGAGACTGCCGAAGCGGTAGCCGGAACGGAAGCGATTACAGGAGGTGAAAATGTGGCCCCCGAAGGAGAAGAGGCCCCAGTTATGGAGCCAGGTCTTGTCGGTGAACAAAATGCTGAAATTGAAGCCAATACAAAGTCTTCTGCAGGCAAAAGCGGCGCCAAGAAGGCACTTATACTTAGCGTTTTCCTGACTCTCATGGCGGCAGCGGGGGCTGTGGACTATTTCGTCACCGGCGTGACTCCTTTGAAGAAGATGATTGAAGGAATGCTGGGCAGCGAGGCTGCAGAGGATCTATCTGAGGCGGGACAGACGAAGGAAGAGGAAACCGAGGAAAAAGCAGAACAAGCGGGCGAAGAAGTATGCCCACGAAATACACACACCGCGACCGTGTTTCCACATAGCAGTGGTGAAGTGCAGACGGCTGTGGGGAGATGTTATGGATGCCAGTTTTGGGGCCTTAGCGAGCTGCGGTTTACAAATGTGTGTGTGCGGAGTTGGTCCGTTTGAGGCTGTACTTTGTGCTGTGTTGGCTTTTGGTTCCCTGGCGTGGCACGGAGGCACCGGTGGTGCTGGCATGCCTTCCCAAGAGCATATTAATGGATGCCTTGACATTCTGCCCGTCGCGTGCATCTGGGGTTGCTGAAGGACATGCATTCTGCCATTGTGTCGGGTCTGTCCTTCAGGAGCAGGTGGGCGTGAGTGGACACGAAATGAGTAGTTTTAGCAGACGCTCGTTGGTTGTTAGGCTTGGTCAGTATTGGGTTTCGCGGGTAGTGATGATGCTTGCGAAGCGTATTTGCGTGATGCATGCGATGTAGTGGTGCGGGAATTGTATGGCAGTGTTGTTTAATAATGAAGCAGCGGCCAGTGTGTGGACTTGTTGAGATACAATGAAACATGCACTACATGATTTTGTGTTGTTTGGCAATTTGCCAAGCTTTCTGAGCAGATGCGTTTGAAGCTCATCGCTACTCAGGGTTTTGTGTCTAGGGACAAACGTAGTTGTTGTAGATGCTTGTTCGGTGTATTATGCGGTGGTGATTGGAGAAGCGGGGGAAGGTGTTGGGTGTGGAGTTGCGAATAGAGGTAGGAGGTCGAGGGGAGATATTTGGGGTGTTGAAGGGACGTAGTGTTAAATGTGTTAGTAGGACTTGGGAAGTTGATATGTAGGTTGGCGTGGGAGTGTGGATGTGTTTTTGGATTTGGTCTGCTTTTCTCCTGTCGAAGCCTGTGAGTAGCAACGACAGTATTTGTATTTGGTGTTCGTTGAATGTTGTTGATGGGTGGGTCGTTTTTGTGGTTTTCGGGCAGTATTAGTGCTTGCAAAACATAAAGTGTAGATGTCTTGTTCGGTCGCGTTGGGCCTTTTTCCTTCAGATTCAGCCTGTGAGTGGACACGGGATTAGTACTTTTAGTTGGCATTCGCTGTTTGCATTTGAAATGTATGGGTGAGTAATGAACCTTGTGGGCAGTGCTGCTGGTTGGAGGGCGCATTTGCACCGGCGGTTTGTTGGGATATTTGAGGGATAGACTGAAAGGGTACTGTGCATATGTTGGTGGATTTTGTTTGGGGGCACCGGCGGTTTGTTGGGATATTTGAGGGATAGACTGAAAGGGTACTGTGCATATGTTGGTGGATTTTGTTTGGGGATTTGTTCAGATTCCCGAGCAGGTGCGTTTGAAGCTGATCGCTACATGGGGTTTTGTGTGTATTGAGTTTCTGCTCAGGGTTTTGTGTGTATTGACGAACTGCTTAGGGTTTCTGCTCAGGGTTTTGTGTGTATTGACGAATGTATGTATTTTGTTTGGGGATTTGTTCAGATTCCCGAGGAGGTGCGTTTGAAGCTCATCGCTGCTTAGGGTTTTGTGTGTATTGACGAATGTATGTGTGTGTTGTAGTAGATGGCGTTTTGGTGTATTATGCGGTGGTGATTGGCGGTGTGTGTAGAGGTGTTGTGTGTGGGGTTTTCAGTGGTGTTGGGATTTGGATGGTTGAAGCCTGGGGCGTTGAAGCAACGCATTGATTACATTTGGTTAGAAGGGGGCGTGATATGGGAAGTTGATATGTAGGTTGGCATGGGATTGTGGATGTGTGGT